CTTCGTCAACCTTGAAAAAATGTCGAAAATTATTGATATAAAAAAAAACTCACCATGCAATGATAAGGGGAATGTTCACGATCATCTAAAAAAAATTTTTAGTTAATTTATAACATTAATTTGTCAAATTAAATTTATACCATTGCTCGCCGTCGGCCCAAGGGATCTATGTGTAAAATTATTTCCATTATTTTCTAATTTCTTCAAACAGCTCGATCAAAAAGATTTATTTATTCACCTGTTATTATTGCAGATAAGATTGAACCCAACGGTTCAACTACGTAATTAACGCTACCTGTTGAAATAAAACAATTAAGATCTTGTAATGGTTGGTATTCATTTTAGATTCTAATTAAATTGCAAGTAAATTGTGGATAATTGTGAGAGGTGAAGAAGTTATCTTGACTTCCATTAGAAATAAACATATCAACTTGGTATAAATCACTGAACAGTCATATATTTCTTTGTAGTTTTTCATTCTGAAAAGAATTTCATGCAATTTCACAAAATTCTCAATGATATTTGCTTTGAATGAATGGAATGGTTATAGTGACATAAAAATAAAAATAAAAGTAGCAACCAAATCTATTCATAAACAATCTATTCATATGTTCTGTCATCGCAAAGCATTGAAACCGTTGACCTACCTAACCAGCTGACTTGTGATGCGGTAAGCGATAGAGTTTCATTCTGATTAAATTCGTTTTGAATTCCGGTCAAAGCTGGAATAATTATTCCAGGAAAGGCCAAACACAATCCAAGATCAAATAATAGCATATTTTTCACTGTCGTCGCTAAAAACTGTCAAAATACTGAAATTAGCAGAGTGTTTCAAACAATAAACTGAAATTTGCACCAAATAAATATTGATTACAGATAAAACTTTAGTCGCCAGTGCACTGGAAATGCATAAAAATAGTACTCAATGGTCATTTAATTTCATTATTTATTTACAATTATTTGAAAAAATCACGTTCAACCCGTTTGCATTAGAAATAAAATTGAGATTTCATATGTGAAGAGATAAACTCATGACTCATTTGCAATTCACTTATTTTTTGTGCACATGAACTCGTAAAAATCCAAGAGACCTGGAGTACGAGATAGAGAGAGAGAAAGAGAAAATTCACCTGAGCGATAAAGCGTCGATATCGATATTTATGCTTGTCATCTTTTTCATTTTGTTCGTACTTTTCGAATGTCATCGTTTCACTCGGGTTATTCAATTCAAACTAACAACAATGCAACGCGCACAAAGCGTGTAACACAAAAAACCTATAATAACACAAACAATGTTGATTCACGTTTCTGGTTTTGCATATATCACTGTGAACGGCTTTTGTTGATGAATGTTTGGGCTTGTCCCATGTACGGTAGATATAATACGATCACGTGAGGCGATCGACGATCAACAATCTGGTTTTGCGCCATATACTACAATGTCAGTTCAAATGTATAACGGACAGTTTTATGATTATTAGCAATTACGAATTTGTCGTATTATTTCAATCTCAGTTACGTTTCTGACCTTCGAATACTTCTTCTTTTCGTCTTTATATACGAATTGAAATGTTTAAGCAATTTAAACCTTTTTTTCTTCAATTTAAATTTACGACATATGATTCACATCAAGGCAGGTAATAAAATGCATATTTAATGATCCATATTTTGTCTGGACTTTAAAACATTGCACATCTCGGATAAAAAATAATAAAAGCAATTTAGATAAGAGTATTCTTTTCACGAAATAAATGTACAACTTTTTTTAACAACAATGAACGTCTGTGTTTGCAAAAAACGCGTCAATTCTCTGTAAATATTATACGGTACTAATAAGCACATTTAATTGAAAACATGAACTTGAATTCACATCACAATTTTGCCATTGGCTTAAATTATTCCGGTTAAACACACGATATGCATAAAACATGTGCTTCCGTCCAAATGCGATCACTGACTGAACTAGCAGATTGCAAAAACAAATGTTATAAGCAGATAAACTCCACCAAAAAACAGAAAATTTAAACAAATACACAAGAGAGAGAGAGAGAGAGAGAGAGAGAGAGAGAGAGAGAAGCGCAAACACGAGAATCGTGCACAAAAACGTCATTAAAATTCAGAAACTCATATGACATGATCAATTAAGGTGCCTTTTGTCAATTTTATTGAATTTTTTTTTCCACTCACACACCTCATTATACTATATGTACAAATATTATTTACAGAGACCGATCAAGTAAATAAAAACCAGCCCAATCTATATATCCATTCATTTCAATCATATACATACCTGTCAAGCTTTGAGGTTGAATTTTAAGTGGATGTTACTTTGACGAATTTATTCGATGCAAATTTGACATAAATTGGAATGGAGTTTTTATGTGAGACTATTTAGATATTATTAAATTGATTAGTCGAATTAATTGTTTTTCTTCAGAATTCAAAATTATCTGATTTGATCGATACATAAGATGTTAATGTGGTGAGCTTATCTGATTATGAATATTATGTACAAATGCGAAGAATTTAAGCTTAATAAAGTGACACACCATCTTAATTATTAACGTTTCTCAATGCAGTTAGAATTAAACAAAAATTCGACTCGATCTTCTCCACACGGGTTATTGTACTTTGTCCTAGTATTAAAAAAACCGGCTTGTTTCACCAAAAACCCAATTTTCTAGTTTCATCTTTTATATGTCGGTGAAAACTTTATTGCTAATGCATTTTTAAAGCAAAGTCAATAGTTAGTATAATAAATAACAGCAATCCATATTTTTGAAAATCTTTTCTCTATATATTTTAATCAAATCTGGGCCCCTCAAGGTGGACTTGTTTAGTTAACTACCTCAATAAAAAACTATTTAGTGTTTTGTCCAAGGGTATGGCATGCTATGTAAAATGTTGTCGAACAAAAACCTTACAAATTTGTCGGAATAAACATTATAATTCTATGAACAAATTTACACAAATATGAGATATTCAATTCGAAATTTGAAATTCAGATTCTATCCGATAGATGGCGTTACGGTTTGGCACGTCGCCATGTCTTTATGAATACGTGCTCAATATCTTCAAAAATATTGAACACATCGAAACATTTTTAAAGTCTACACTTGAATTTAAACGCAACAATACTTACCTTTGTTTACCTTTAAAAGTGTACTAGTGTACGGCTGATTACCGTGCAGAAAATTTGAAATCGCAAAATAAATGCTACTTTCTGCCTCATGTCTGATTTTTTAATGGACTTTTGAGTTTGTTCTTCTAAAAAAGTTTTAGTAAGTAACGAAACGAAAGAAAAACAATGGACATGAAGTGAATTTACACAATTTAGCTAGCTTTAAGATTTGATTTCATTGCCTAGTTTCTTGTCGGATTTTGGTCCTCTTTCTCCATACAATTGTTTTTAAGCATTTACACACAGAGATATTCTTGTACTACATTATGCCGAAAATAGCATTAAAAATTGACGTATCAGAATTACAGATAAAAGTCAAAGATTCATGCGATTTATAGCATTGTACTATGAAAACACTAAAATCAATTTAAGGTTATGTATTGAAATTTGACAAGTTATATAATTCTAAAAATTGTATGTAGTGGTAAGATTTATCGGCTGGTCTGATATGTCCAATTATAATGCTATTTTTAGCATAGTGTAGCTGTGTGTACATTTCACAACAATGGAGAAAACACAAACTGAAGGAAAATGCTGTTAAAGAGCGTTGCAAAACTAATGAAATATTGTTGTTGCAACCGTAATGACGTGTAACTCTTTGAAGCTCTCTAACTTTTGGGTCCGTGTATGGATTTGGTTCAAATCTGTGATGTAGAGGTTTGAAGGATGGTACTTCCCAAAAATATTATCAGTTTGGCAAAAGTGACACCTTTCATTCATTTTGTAGCACTCTGGAAATTCATAAAAAATGGTTCCCTGAGGGTTTTTAGTTCAAAGCACGACGACAATGACAGCTGGGCAACGCAGCAACTTCATTATGGTTGCCACAGTTTATGTTGGGTGGCACAAATTCGTACCATTTTTGATTTATGCGATTGAAATTTGTGCTATTTTTTAGTTTCGCTGGCAACCGCACCATGGCGCTACCATCAATGTTGCTTGTCATCGTCGAGCTTAGTTTTAGTTAATTGAAAAAATCGGACCCCTCGGACCCATGCTGAGGACGTATGCTTTTCTCTCTAAAAAATTGCTGATTCATGTTCCCTGGCCCCGAGCACACCCAGAAAACATGTTTTTGAGGGGTCTTTATTTTTCGACCGATTCCAATACTTTACCTTACACGCTAGGTGTGTGCGGAAAAGTAAAATTAACCAAATGAATGATGTAATATAATTGTTTTATTCTCATTTTTTGATCGCACATTAACTATTGGCAATTATCGTTGGGTAGTTGCAATCTTTCGATCGATGATTCGTTTGGAATTATCCGAAAAATGCAGTTCAATATCTTCCAATGTTATATTTTCCGTCTCCGGTAGAATGTTGTACATCAATATTAAGCCAATAAAAGATATGCAGGCGTGCATAATTGAAACTCCCGGCAAAGAGATTGCTGTTTCCAAGTCATAATATGTCTTTGAACCAATGATAGCAAAAACAAAGAAAATTGCCGAAGCCACACCGCATGCGATTCCTCGCGATCTAATCAAATAAAAACAGATAAAATGAATCTTTTATCGAAACAAAAATGATTTTAAAATAAATAAATAATTTTTAAAATAATTTTTTACTTAAATGGAAACAGTTCTGAAAGGAGCATCCATGGAATTCTAGTAATGCTCAACGTTGTGAAATATCCCAATGTTAACAAGCAAACAAATGGAATGTAGCCGATCCATTCGTTTTCCACTTTGTATGGTTCACGATTGGCTTGATTGAAGGAAGTGTATGCAAAAGGAAGAAAAGTGAATCCATACCATGCAACGATGCTGGAGCAAACGAATAAAATCGACACACAAAATAATAAAATTCGCCGCTTGCCAATGAATCTAATCACTAGCATCAACGTTACAGTCGCTGTAAGTTCCAGAAAACTCATAATTTTCAAGCATGATCGGCTAGAATGGGGCTGTTGTAAGCTTTGAAAATTTGCACCATGAATGGTTTCATCGATGTTATGCTTGCGAAGTTGATCAGAAAAAACATCGAAATTATAATGAATAATGGTTTGAGTGTTGGTTTTCGTTTCAATTCAGCCAGTTTGTCAGCCAACGATGGTAAGGCATGGTCACATTTCAAGTCCTGTTTGAGGCATGTGCTGCATGATTTTGAACGATCACTGTGCCGTTTCAGGTCATTGAATTCTTGAACTACGAAATCCTTGGGTGCCCATCCTCTCAACCATCGAAGTTCAGACTCAGCGTCAGCAGTGACAGACCCCCCCCCCTAAAGGAAATCCTGTGTACGCCTCTGATAATCAAGTAATAATCAAATGTTAGTACCTTCCATAAGGCCAACGGCCAAGCCTTCAAAAAAAAACACAATAAAAAGATATATATCGGTGGTATAAATCGACAATGGCAAAAAAATATGAAACCACTTCATTCAAATAAGTAAATTTCAATATTCTCTTCGCAGCTTAATTGAAAACCATTTTAATTACCTTGCATTGCGAATCCAGCATATACATGCCAAACTGAAGTGGCTTGGTATAGCATAATCCATCCAATCGCGAATGGAATATTCACAAGAATCATTGACCGCTTTCTACCCAATGGATCTGGTTAGTAAATAAAGAGTCTTACGGGAGTAAGACGAACTTTTCCGCACGGTGGTAGTTGCGTATTTTATTAAGAAAGTTCAAAATAATATTTGCTCGATTCTTCAAGTCTTTCAAGCGGCGTAAAGTTCGAGACCAAAAAATATTTTTCAACTTTGGCAACGAAATATTCTTTAATTTAATAGCAGAAGTACCCGAGAAAAGATTTTTCACACTTTCATGATGAACCCATTTGTACGACATTTGAAAGTATTCTATTTTC